AATATTTTGTTTTCTTTAATTCAACTTTTAAATTTATCCATTTAACTATTAATGGGCATTTGGGCAGTTTCCAATTTGTGGGCCATGTCAAGTAGTGCTCCTATAAATATTTTAGTACATATTTTGTGAACACATGTATGCTCCTCAGTTGGGTATTTGCCTAAGAGTTGAATTGCTGCATTATAAGAATGCATGTGTTCAGCTTTTATAATAGTGCTAAACAGTTTTTTAAAGTATTTTACTGAATTACATTCTCACCACCAGTGAATGAGAGTTTGGCTGCTCTGCCTCCTTACCAGTACTTCATATTTTCTTTTTCATTGTAGGCACTGTGTATAGTGGACATAGTATCTCATTGTGATTTAATTTTCATTCCCTTAATGATTAATAACATATTTACGTGTTTATTGGCCATTTAGATTCTCTTTTGTGATACTCTTAAAGTTTGATTTTTTTTAGTTGACATAATTGTGCATATTTATGGGGTACAGTGTGATATTTTGACACATGTGTACAATGGGTTATTGGGATATCCCTCACCTCAAGCATTTATTTTTGTATTAACAACATTACAATTCTTATCTTCTAGCTATTTTAAAATATATAATACATTGTCATTAACTATTGTCACCCTGCTCTGCCATCAAACATTAAAGAACATATTCCTTCTAACTGTATGCTTATACCAATTAATCAACTTCTCATCATCCTCCCCTCCCCCACTCCTTTCCCAGCCTCTGTTAACCACCATTTTACTCTCTTCATGAGATCCACTTTTTAAGCTCCCACATATGAGTGAGAGCATACAATTTTTGTCTTTTGTTCCTGGCTTGTTTCACTTATGACTTCCAGTCCCATTCATGTTGCTGCAAATGTTTCATTTGTTCTTAGGACTGAATAACATTTCATTGTGTATATATACCACATTTTCTTTATTCATTCTTTCATTGTTGGACACCTAGGTTGATTCCATCTCTTGGCTATTGTGAATAATGCTGCAATAAACATGGGGGTACAGATGTCACCTTGGTATACGATCTCCTTTCCTTTCTTTTCCTTTGGATATATATCCAGAAGTGGAATTGCTGGATCATATGATAATTTTACTTTTAGATTTTTGAGAAAACTCCATATTATTTTTCATAATGGCTGTACTATTTTGCATTCCCACCAACAGTCTATAAGGATGCCCTTTTTTCTGCATCCTTGACAAATTTGTTTTTTGTCCTTTTGGTAATAGCCATTCTAACTGGGGTGAGATAATACCTCATATTGTTTTTGATTTGCATTTCCCTGATAATGGTGATGCTGAACATTTTTTCATATACCTGTTGGCCATTTGCGTGTCTTTTGAGAAATGTCTATTCGGATCATCTTCCCATTTTTAATTAGATTATGTTTGTTTGCCACTGAGTTGCTTGAGTTCCTTGTATATTTTAAGTATGAATCCCTTGTTAGATGAATAGTTTGCAGATATTTTCTGCCATTCGACAAGTTGTGTCTTCACTTTATTGATTGTTTCCTTTGCCATGCAGAAGGGATTAGTTTGATATAACTCCATTTATTTATTTTCGCTTTTGTTATTTGTGCTTTTGAGTTCTTATTCATAAAATATTTTCTGAAACAAATGTCCTGAATCATTTCCCCTAGGTTTTTTTTCTAGATGTTTTATAGTTTGGGCTCTTACACTTAAGTATTTAATCCATTTTGAGTTGATTTTTGTATATGGTGAGAGGTAAGAGTCTTCTGCAGTTGGATATCCAGTTTTCCCAGCAAGAGGTTGTTCTTTCTCCAATGAGTGTTCCCGGCATTTTGGCAAAAATAAGTTGGCTGTAGACATGTGGATTAATTTCTGGGTTCTCTATCCTGTTCCATTGGCCTGTGTTTCTGGTTTTATGCCAATACTATGCTTTTTTTGTTATTATAGCATTGTAGTATATTTTGAAGTCAGATAGTGTGATACCTCCAACTTTGTTTTTTTTTGTTTGTTTGTTGCTCAGGATTCCTTTAACTATTCAGGGTCTTTTGTGGTTTCATATATATTTTAGAATTTTTTCCTATTTCTGTGAAGAATTTCATTGTTAATTTGACAGGAATTGTATTGAATCTGTAGATGGTTTTGGTAACCCTTGATAGGGATCGTTTTGGATCTGTAGATTGCTTTGGTTACCCTTAAATTTTTAACATCTGTATTTAACTGATTTTCTAAAAAAAAAAAAATCTAAAAATATTAACTGTCTCTATTCCTTACCCAATCTAGATGATAAAGTCCCTTAGCAACATTTAAATTACTACTATTCCCCCACTTACCAGTTCTATTCTATTTAGCCTCAATTTGCCTCATCTGTTTTCTCATATGTAAAGTGCAGAAATCATAAAATTTGGAGGATTAAATAATGTTATTAAAGCACTTTGAATAGTGTCTGGCATATGGTATTTGCAATATAAAGATTAGATATATTTTTCATATATAGCATCATTATAATTTATTTGACTTCCTAATTTGGGGCATTTAGAGTTTTTATGTTACAGGTATCACTATGAGAAATAATCTTATATAACCTTTTTGTATCGCTAATTAATTCCTGAATGTAGACATTTCTGATCTCAAAGAAAACTAAGATTTGACAGGCACTATCTTGAAGCTGGAAATTACTTAGAAAACAATACAAATATGTAAATGACAAAAGTTTTTATCATGTCATTTTCTTAGAGAAACTTGATAGTATATTCACACAAAAGATCTTCAATTAGTTTTACCCTCAATCTTTTCCCAAAATAATATACTCCTCAGTTATCTTAAGGTTCAATCTGTAAAGCCTCCTGTGAAACCTTTCTTTCTGGGCTGGGCTCGATGGCTTATGCCTGTAATCCCAGCACTGTGGGAGGTTGAGATGGGTGGATCACTTGAGGTCAGGTGTTCGAGACCAGCCTGGCCAACATGATAAAACACCATGTCTACTAAAAATACAAAAAGTAGGCCAGGTATGGTGGCTCACACCTGAAATCCCAGCACTTTGGGAGGCCGAGGCGAGTGGATCACCTGAGGTCAGAAGTTCAAAACCAGCTGGGTTGACATGGTAAAACCCTGTCTCTAGTAAAAATACAAAAAATTAGCCGGCCATGGTGACAGATGCCTGTAATCCCAGCTACTCTGGAAGCTGAGGCAGGAGAATCACTTGAACCCAGGAGGTGGAGGTTGCAGTGAGCCGAGATCACACCACTGCACTCCAGCCTGGGCAACAGAGTGAGACTCTGTCTCAAAAATAAATAATAAAAATACAAAAATTAACTGGGTGTGATGGCAGGCACCTGTAGTCCCAGCTACTCAGGAGGGTGAGGCAGGAGAATTGCTTAAACCCAGGAGGCAGAGGTTGCAGTGAGCAGAGATCACTCCATTGCACTCCAGCCTGGGTGACAGAGCATGACTCTGTCTCAAAACAAAAAAAAAACAAAAAAAAAAAACCAGAAAGCTTTCTTTTCTTCTTATTCCTCTTGCTCTTCCTCCTCCTCCTCGTCTTCCTCTTTCTTCCTCTTCCTCTTCTTCTTCTTTCTTCTTTTTTGAAAGCTTTCTACAGTTTATGCAGATTTCTGAATCTTAATGAAGACTTGACCAACCTATAATTACCCCATGCCTTCTTCATTCCTAATTATTTTTAATACATACCAGAATTACTATAATTTGCAGCAGTGATAAGATAATGGGAGGAAAAAAACCCCAGAGGACTTGCTTTAATTTGCTGCATAACCTTATTTCATTACCTTTCTTTTGTGGAGCTCAATTTTACCCTCTGTAAAATGAAGGGTATCACCATATAATTCCTATAGGCGTTTATGCTTTCATTTTATAATGTTTTCATTTAGCTTTCTTTCTTTCTTTTTTCTTTTTTAAGAGAGACAGGTTTCACTTTGTTGCCCAGACTCGAGTGCAGTGGAGTAATTTTAGTTCAGTGTAACCTCAAACTCTTGGGCTCAAGCAATCCTGCCGCCTCAGCCTCCTGAGTAGCTGGGACTAACAGGCAAGTGCCATCATATCTGGGTAATTTTTTCTTTTTCTTTTTCTTTTTTTTTTTTTTTTTTTGTTTTTGAGATGGAGTTTCACACTGTGGCCCAGGCTCAAGTGCAGTGGTGCTATCTCGGCTTACTGCAAATTCTGCCTCCCAGGTTCCAGTGATTCTCCTGCCTCAACCTCCCAAATAGCTGAGATCACAGGCACATACCACTGTGCCAGGCTAATTTTTGTATTTTTAATAAAGGCAGAGTTTCACCATGTTGACCAGGCTCATCTCAAACTCCTGACCTCAGGTATCCCGCCCTTCTCAGCCTCCCAAAGTGCTGGGATTACAGGCGTGAGCCACTGCGCCCAGACCCTGGTTAATTATTTTTTAATTTTTTGTAGACATGGTGTTTCGCTCGTGGTTAGGCTGGTATCCAACTCCTGGCTTCAAGATCCTTCCACCTCAGCCTCCCAAAGTGTTGGGATTACAGGCGTGAGCCGCCACACCCATCCTCACTTTACCTTTTAGATAAAACTTGTAAAGATTTCTAAGATCTTAGAAATTCCTCATATTTGTTGCTTTATTACCCTTATCTGCCTCCTTATAAAGATTGATAATACAAATCTTAAAATGAAAAGTGTCTTATGTTGGAGAGCTGCCAAGAATGAGACTGGAGAAATAAAAAAAAGACTAGACTGAGAAGGAAGAAAAACAGATAAGGTGGTGGCAGCTGTACAAACACAAACAAAACCAAGGTTTCAAATACCGGCGTCGTCACAGAAATGTGTCCTGGGCCGTGATCATCAGGAGGCCCTGTGTAATTCTCTAATCCAGGGTCTTGGAGGTTATTAGAATTGCTTGGGACTAGAATTCCCATCTCCCAATCTCCTGATTAATGTCTTAGCACTACACCATGCTGTATCATTTGAAGTATATCATTTAATTTTACCTAGAGAATGAAAATACATGCATGAAATAATCTTTTGTAATTTATTTGTATAGGTTTTTTTAATTACTTAACCTATTTTCTGGCTGCTGGTGCTGTTATTTTGGGAATTGGTTTCTTTGCTTTGGCATCAGCTTTGTGGTTCCTGATTTGCAAACGAAGGTAAGGTTTATTCAAATATTTGTCTAACCTTTTTTCCTTTTAAAACTTCAATAAAGGACTTTTTCAAATGGTAGTAAACTTAAATAACTGTGATAGTATTGGTTGTGTAGTTTGGAACTTGGTCCCCCTTTTGGTTGGGGACGGAAGTCTTTACATTTTTTAAGTAGCCTGAAAAAAGAAGTACTGGTAATAGCAATGTTCATGCATTAAAATTTTGAAGGATAACAAGACAGACTTTATTTTCTTCCTTCCTCCCTCCCTCCCTCTCTCCCTTCCTTCCCTCCCTCGCTGTTTCCCTTCCTTCCTTCCTTCCCTCCCTCCCTCCCTTCTCTCTCTCTCTCTCTCTCTCTCTCTCTCTCTCTCTCTCTCTCTTTCTTTTTGGCAGAGCCTTGCTCTGTCACCCAGACTGGAGTGCAGTGGCGTGATCTTGGCTCACTGCAACCTCTGCCTTCTGGGTTCCAGCGATTTCTCCTGTCTCAACCTCCAGAGTAGCTGGGATTACAGGCATGCCTGGCTATTTTTGTATTTTTAGTAGAGACGTGGTTTTGCCACATTGGCCAGGCTGGTCTCTAACTCCTGACCTCAGATGATCTGCCCACCTCAACCTCCCAAAGTGCTGGGATTACAGGCATGAGCCACCACGCCCGAACTTTATTTTCTAGAAGACCTGGGTTTGATTGTAACGTAAGGTGAAAAGTTTTTAAAAATTGACTCCCAATTTTAGAGATTGAAAACATTATAGAAAAGAAAGTTTTTCTTCAGGAGATACTTAAGAAAAGGGCTGACGGAATGTCCTGGTATGCTCTAAAAGTGGTCTTTTGTCAGAAACAGAAAAAGATTATTTGACACCTTAATTTCTTTCAACTGTAAAATTTGGTGTTTCTAATTATTAAATCATTTCAGGTTGGGTGACGTGTCTCATGCCTGTAATCCCAGCACTTTGGGAGGTCAAGGCGGGCCGATCACCTGAAGTCAGGAGTTTGAGACTAGCCTGGCCAAAATGGCGAAACCCTGTCTCTAGAAAAAATACAAAAAAAAAAAAAAAAAAAATTAGCTGGATGTAGTGGTGCACACCTTTAGTCCCAGCTACTCTGGAGGCTGAGGCAGGAGAATCATTTGAACCCAGGAGGCGGAGGTTACAGAGAGCCGAGATCATGCCATTGCACTCCAGCCTGGGTAACAAGAGAGAAACTCCGTCTCAAAAAAAAAAAAAAAAAAAAAAAAAAAAAAGATAATTTCAGTGTTTACATTGTCTAAGGTTTAAAACATATAAATTGTAACATAATCTTCCCATACAGTCTTCCAGTGTTACCTGTCTCAAATGAATACACAATACCCATCTACATTCACTAGTCAGAAACCTAGAAATTATTCACTTACTCGTTCTTCCAACAAATATTTATTAGGTGCTTGCCATTGTTATAGGTATTGAGCACACAACTGTGAACAAGTTAAACAAGTTTCTGTTTCATAGATTTGCAATGCCAGTAGCAGGGGACAGATAATAAACAAATAAAGTAGTCAGGATATGTGTGTACTAAAGTAGGTTGTATTTAATCTAAGACCTAAGTTAGAAGAAACCAGACGTATGAAGACTTTGTGCAAGAGCTGTCTAAACTAAAAGCAGAGCAAATACAAAGACCCTAAGGAATGGTCTTGACATATTTAGCAAACAGAAAGAAAGCCAATGTGAATAATCTGCAGTGTGAGGGGAAAACAATCATGAGATTGAAGAGGCATGTAAAGGCCAGATCACATAAGAATTTGTAGGCTAGAATATGGAGTTGGATTTTATTAGTGCCAATGGGAGGTTCTAAATAAGAGGAATAGCATTGTCATAATAGCTAACACTGAGTGCTTTCTACATAGGTACTCTTCTAAGTGCTTCATATGTTATCTCATTTAGACTTAACCCAATGAGGTAGAAGCAATATTATTTCTATTTTATAGACTGTCCTAGGCAGAGTGCGATGACTCATGCTTGTAATCCCAGCACTTTGGGAGGCTGAGGTGGGTGGATCTCTTGAGGCTAGGAGTTTGAGACCAGCCTGGCCACCAAGGCAAAACTTTGTTTCTACTAAAAACACAAAAAATTAGCCAGGCATGGTGGCACATGCCTGTAATTCCAGCTACCCAGGAGGCTGAGACACAAGAACCCTGGAGGCAGAAGTTGCAGTGATCCAAGATTGCACCATTGTGCTCCAGCCTGGGTGACAAGAGAGATTCTGTCTCAAAAATACATAAAAAAAGACTATTTTATAGCTGATTTACATTTTAATCACTGTTTAAAATTGAGGTTTAGTTTACATACAAGGAAGTGCATAGATTTGAAATGTACAGCTATCAGTTTCAACAAATATACACCTATGTAACCACCACTCTATCAAGATAAAGAGCTTTTCCTTAGCCTGGAAAGTTCCCTTATGTTCCTTTCCAGGCATCACTCCTGACCTCCTACCTTAGAGGTTAGAATTATTCAGATTTCTATCACCGTGGATTAATTTTTCCTGTTCTTGCATCACATGGACTTTTTATGTCTGCTTTTTTTTCACTCAACACATTTTCCAGGCCGGGCACAGCAGCTCACATCTGTAATCGCAACACTTTGGGAGGCTGAAGAGGGCAGATCTCTTGAGGTCAGGAGTTCGAGACCAGTGAACAGTGAAGCCTGTCTCTACTAAAAATACAAAAATTAGTCGATCACAGGGGCACATGCCTGTAATCCCAGCTACTCGGGAGGCTGAGGCAGGAGAATCCCTTGAACCTAGATGGCAGAGGTTGCAGCAAGCAAGGATCATGCCACTGCACTGGAGCCTGGGCAACAGAGCAAGACTCTGTCTCAAAATAATAATAATAATATTTTTGAGATTCATTTATGTTGCATTTATCCAGCCATAGTTCATTGTTTTTATTGAGTAATATTCCATTTGATGAACATACTTGGTTTATCTATTCTTTTGTTAATGGACATTGGGATCATTTTGTTTTTAGCTCTTAGGAAAATGGCTGCCATGAACATTCTTGTATAAATCTTTTGTACATGTACTTTCACTTTTCTTAGGTAAATACCTAAAACTAGAATTGTTGAATCATTTGATTAGCTTTATAAGAAACTGCCAAACACTTTTCCGAAGTGTGTATACACTCCCACCAGCAATGTATGAAAGTTCTGATTTACACTTTTTAAAAAATATCATTATGTCTCTGTGAAGCCTGAATTTTAATGGAGCAAGAGTGAAAGCACAGAGGCAAGTCAGGAGACTATTGCATAGTCCGGGTGAGAGTTTATGGTGTCTTTTGCACTAACGTGCTTTCTGTGTTTCTGTACATTGTTCTAATCTGGCCAGTAGGCCTTTGTATGTGATATTCTCTCTGTCTAGAATATTTTTACTTTCACATGTCCCCTCTTCCACCACATTCTAGTTAAAACCCGTTGCTGTTTCTTCAGATGCTCAGTTAAATCATCCCTTCCTTAAGAAAGGCTTCCCTGACCTCTCTAACCAAGTTAATTCCCTTAGTTACATCCACAATAGCAGGTAGCTTTCCTTGACAGCAATTTCCACTGTTATAATTTTTCATTTTCTTGTGATTACATTATTAATGTCTGTCTTCTTTACCAGTATTTAAGATCGATGAAAGTAATGAGAATTCCATGAGGGCAGGGGCTGTTCTTTTTCCTTCTACCACTAGATATGCAATACCCAGCATAATTCCTTGCACATAGTAAATACTCAATAAATATTTGTTGAGAATTGAATTCAATGAATAAGTGAACCCTAATTGTTAATGCCTCATTAACATAATGTGATCTCTGTCTTCTTCTTTTTTTTTTTTTTCTTTTGATAGGAGTCTTGCTCTGTTGCCAGGCTGGAGCACAGTGAGGCAATCTTGGCACACTGCAACCTCCACCTACCGGGTTCAAGCGATTCTTCCACTTCAGCCTTCCGAGTAGCTGGGACTACAGGCGCGTGCCAAACGCCCGGCTAATTTTTGTATTTTTAGTAGAGACGGGGTTTCACCATGTTGGCCAGGATGGTCTGGATCTGTTGACCTCGTAATCCACCCGCCTCAGCCTCCCGAAGTGCTGGGATTACAGGCGTGAGCCACCGCGCCCGGCCATGTGATCTCTTGAATTAATTTGAAATATTCTAGTACCTTTGAAAGAAGAAATGGCAATGAGCATTATTATTATTATTATTATTATTATTTGAATCTACATTGACACATCACTATCACCCATAGTTTATCATTTACATTAAGGTTCACTCTTGGTGTTGTATATTCTGTGGGTTTTGATGAATGTGTAATGGCATGTATCCACCATTATAGTATCACACAGAGTATTTTCACTGCCCTAAAAATCCTCTGTGGTCCATCTATTCATCCCTCCCTCCCTCTAACTCCTGGCAACCAGTGATCCTTTTACTGTCTCCATAGTTGTAAGACCTAGTTTCTTTTTTTTTTTTTTTTTTTGAGACAAAGTCTTGCTCTGTCACCCAGGCTGGTGTGCAGTGGCGCAATCTCGGCTCACTACAACTTCCACGTCCTGAATTCAAGCAATTCTCCTGCCTCAGCCTTCTGAGTAGCTGGGACTGAAGGTGTGCACCACCACGCCTGGCTAATTTTTTCTATTTTTAGTAGAGACGGGGTTTCACCATGTTAGCCAGGATGGTCTCAATCTCCTGATCTTGTGATCTGCCCACCTTGGCCTCCCAAAGTGCTGGGATTCCAGACATGAGCCACCACACCCAGCCCAAAGTTTTGCCTTTTCCAGAATGTCATATAGTTGGAATCATGTAGTATGTAGCTTTTAAGACTGATTTTTTTACTTTAGTAATACACATTTAAGTTTACTCCATGTCTTTTCATGCCTTAATAGCTCATTTCTTTCTTTTCAATGCTAGAAAATATTCCATTGTTCTTTAAATCCTTAAGTTGAGAATGATGGTTTGAAACTACATTCCCTTATACTTAACTGTCTTTGATCATCTGAGGTTTTACTTACTGCTTTATTTTCTTTAACTCTCTCTCATTTATTTCTGGTTGTATGGACAAGAAAAGATTACAGGCATTCCTCCAATGTGAGTCACTTCTGTTTTTTTCCTCTTATTTATTGATTTATTTATTTTGAGACAGAGTCTCACTCTGTCACCCAGGCTGGAGTGCAGTGGTGCAATCTAGGCTCACTGCAACCTCTATCTCCCGGGTTCAAGTGATTCTCCTGCCTCAGCTGCCCGAGTAGCTGGGATTACAGGAGTGTGCTACCATACACAGCTAATTTGTTTTTTTGTTTGTTTGTTTGTTTTTGTATTTTTAGTAGAGACAGGGTTTCACTATGTTGGCCAGGCTGGTCTCAAACTCTGACCTTAAGTAATCTGCCCGCCTTGGCCTCCCACAGTGCTGGGATTACAAGCATAAGCCACTGTGCCAGCCCCTCTTACTTTTTGTCAGAAATATGTTTAAATACCAAAATTGACCAATAAGTTGCATTTTATTTAATTTCCTTCACCATTAAGAATAATTTTATGGAAAGGCTAGTTAACATTAAAGTCAATTAATTTTCTCACAGCCAGAAGGAAATATATCAAAGACTCCTGGCTAACATTCAAACTGATGAGAATAGCCCTGCATATATAGCTTAATTTACATTTCATGAATAAAATAAGTAGCTTAATTTATATTCTATGAATAAAATAGATGTAATAAAACCTAACATATGAGTAGAGAGTATGTAAATTGATTTGTGCTTTTAAAAATAAATATGCTATGATTTATTTATTCTGATTTTAAAGCTTTATCTATAAATATTGGAAATAATTTTAATTGTTTTATAATCTAATTCATAATAATAATATTCTTTGTAAAATATTTTTCAGAGAAATATTTCAAAATTACAAATTTAAAGCAACTGATGAGAGATTCAGGCAAAGACCATCAAAGGCAAAGATTAAATCTCATTCTCAGTGTGTTTTTATTTCTCGAAATTTTCATACTGGGAGATTCCAATTACAGGTAGGTGTGATATTTTATAGCAATCTTTTTAAATAATTTCTTTTGATGTCATGTTTTTAGCATTGCTTTCTTAAAATCTGAAGGACAGACAATCCACTGTTATTTTTTAATTTGAGGGAAAAACTAGTTAGTGTTTATACTATAGGAAAACTGAAAAACTAAATGAAAATATAGCATCTTCTACACTTGTTTCTTCATATCTCTAGCCCAACAACCTACATTCCACATATTGGGATTGCTATAGGGATAAAAATAAATGGCATAGGAAAAACTGAAAGCAGAAGCAAGCTTGTCAAAGGAAAAAATCTTGGAGATGAGATACTCAGACAGCCTAACCATACCAACTAAGTGAAATTAAATTCACTTCGACAAGGGTGTACTAGGCCTTTACTGTATTCCAAGCTCCTCTGGGCCCCTTTATTGGAGCTAGAAAGGTATGGGACCTACCTTCAAGGTACATGTGCAGTACAAGTGAGAAAGCCAGACACCTAATTAACTTTGTATGATGTGCTAAGTGTCAACACAATGCTAAAGGAACAAAGGAAAAAAGGCAGAGACGAAAACTATAATAGCTAAGCAAAACAGTGTTTGTTTTATAGATGGATAAATAGTGACAAACTGATAGGTTGTTAAAGTTTCGCTATATATCTTGAGTATTGAACTCAAGTTGTACTTGGTGTTCATTGATCTAAAAAACATTTAGTGGCTGGTGGTGGCACCTCATGCCTGTAATCCCAGAACTTTGGGAGGCCAAGGCAGGAGGAGTGCTTGAGCCCAGAAATTAGAAACCAGCCCAGGCAGCATAGCGAGACCCCATCTCTATGAAAATTTTTAAAATAGAAAAGTAGTTAGATGTGCTGGCTCATGCCTGTAGTCTCAGTTGTTTAGGAGGCTGAGGCAGGATCTATCCTTTAAATCCAGGAGTTTGAAGTTACAGTGAGCTATGACTGTGCCACTGCACTCCAGCCTGGGTGACAGAGTGAGATCCTGTCTCAAAAACAAACAAAATACATTTATTGAGTACTTTATATATGTCAGCACTAGTTTTGCCACTGGGGCTATATAAGCAAGTAAGATATGAGCCCAGCCCTAGGTGAGCCCAAAGTCAGTAGAGAAGAAAAACACATAAACTAAGTAAGTACATCATATGATAAGAGCTCACAAAGTTGAAGAAGCACAGATGAAAGAGCCCGAATTGAGGGGGGCTTCACAGAGAAGACATTTTGAACTGGGTTTTAAGAAATGAAGAGCACATATACACCATGGAATACTATGCAGCCATAAAAAACGATGAGTTTGTGTCCTTTGTAGGGACATGGATGAACCTGGAACAGAAAATCAAACACCACATGTTCTCACTCATAAGTGGGTGTTGAACAATGAGAACACATGGACACAGGGAAGGGAGCATCACACACTGGGGTCTGTGTGGAGAGAACTAGGGGAGGGACAGCGGGGGGTGGGGAGTTGGGGAGGGATAGCATGGGGAGAAATTCCAGATATAGGTGATGGGGAGGAAAGCAGCAAACCATATTGCCATGTATATACCTTATGCAACAGTCTTGCATGTTCTTCACATGTACCCCAAAACCTAAAATGCAATAAAATATATATTTAAAAAAAAAAGAAATGAAGAGTGGTTTGTCAGGAGGAAAGAGAACAAAGGGCTTTTCGTGTTCAAAGGCTTGCAGCTATGAAAGGAAGAAATATATCAGTAAAAATGTTAGAGTGGTAGAAAAAGACACTGGGGATGAGTTTGCGATGAACCTCATCTGCACCCTAAGAATTTTGGATTTTACTCCTTAGGCTGCACAGAACCACTGTGGATTCTAGGAATATGATCAAGAGCATTGTCTGTAGGGCCAGATTACAGACTTCAATTCTGACTGTACAACCAGTAGCTATATAATGTTAGGCAAGTTACTTAACGTCTCTGTGTCTTAATTTCCTCATCTGCAAAATGAGAATAATTTCATCTCCAGAGAGTTGTTGTGGGATTAAAGGAATTATTATGTGAAAAAGCACTAGTGCCTGATCCTGCAGTGAGCACCACACAATTCTACTATTATTTTTACTGGAAATGTTAAGCAGGTGGATGTAAACATCAAATTGATTCTAAAGGTTATTTCCTTGGACTTTTGAATGAAGGACAGTTTGAAATAGAGATTGCATTACAGAGAAAAATTGTTTCTATGTATGCGCTTAACATTAATTTATTCAGTACCCATCATATACTAGGCATTTTCCTAGGTGCTAATGATATAATAATAGCACCATACTTAATGATATACAGATACAAATAGAGTCATGAGTGCAATTTTAATTAGGCTGTTTATTATTCATTCAACAAATGTGTAAGAAGTGCTTATATGCCGGGCATTGTATTAGGCCACTGGGGATTTGGGGGTGAACAAGGGAGATAATAGCCCCTGCTTTTATAAAATTTTTAGTAGTGGGAGAGAGAAACAATCCACAAGTGAACACAAAATATTATTCAGGATTCTATTTTAATTATTTTTTAAATGACAAAAATTATATATATTTATCATGTGCACCACAATGTTTTGAAATATGTATACTTTGTGGAATGGTTAAACCATGTTAGTTAACACATATGTTACCTCACATATTGTTTTTTGTGGTGAGAATGCTTAAAATCAACTCTCTTAGTGATTTTCAACAATACAATACATTGTTATTAACTGTAATCACCATGTTGTACAATAGATTCCTTGAATTTATTCCTCCTATCTAACTGAAATTTTTTATCCTTTGACCAACATATTCTCTGTCACCCTGCCACCCCCAGCCCCTGGTAACCACCATTCTACTGTCTGCTTCTATGAGTTCAGCTTTTTTAGATTCCATATGTGAGCAAAACCATACAGTATTTGTCTTTTTGTGCCTGGTTTCTTTCACTTAATATAATGTCCTCCAGGTTCATCCAGGGTGTCGCAAATGACAAGGTTCCCATCTTTTTTAAGGATGTTATTGAAGATCCCTGATATTCAGTGACAGGAACCTCATCAAACTAGAATGAGAAAGAAAAAATAGTATGAAAAGGATAAGGTAGTGCCAACCTCAGCCAGTCAATCTGAGTACAAAGGAACTGTGCTGTATTGTCCCTCTTCTTCTTATCTCAATTTCTGCTTCCCTATTGGCCTCTTCCTCTTCTACTACAGGCAGACTTCTGTGGGGCGTGAGGATGAAATGATAACAAAAATACATTGATATAATAAAAAACTAGAGATTGATTTCTAACAAAAGCTTTTATTGTAAAATATGGCATACATACAGACGAATACACACACATATACACATGTAAGTTAAATATTAAATGGATTTTCTATACTCATCACCCAGAATAAGAATAGAATATTGCGAGTACCTTTGAGATATTCTGAGTCTTATATATCTGTCACACCTCCAACTCCCACCCTCCACTAAAGGAACCACTATTCTCTAATTGCAGTAAACCATTTCCTTACTTTTCCTTACAGTTTTGCCATAAATGTTATCGAATAATATATTGTTAAATGTCATGTGTTTTGAACTCCATATCTAATCTTTCCTTTTTTGTGCAGTATTGTATTTCTGAGATTCATCCAGTTGATGTACATAACCATTGTTCATTATTTTTACTGTTATTTGGTATTCCGTTGTGTGAAAATATCAAATTTTTTGTGGTTTACATTAAGTTTGGGTTGTTTTCAGTTGTTTCTCGATGAGATCTTTATAAGGGATATTCCTAACAGTAGAATTGCTGATTATGGGGTAAGTGCATATTCAATCTTATTAGATAATTCCAAATTGTTTTCCAAAGTAGCTGTGTCAGTATACCACATATAAGTGCACAGATTACTCCATCTCTTCAGCAATCTTGACATTTTTTAGGCTTCTAAATTTTGACAATCTAATGAATGTGTAATAGTATCTGTAGTCTTCACACCTAATTTTTTTTTCACACCATTGTAGATTCACAGCAAAACTGAGCAGAAAGTACAGGGTCCCCATATATCCTTTGCCCCCACACAGGCACAGCCTCCCCAGCTATCCACATCCTGCACCAGAGAGGTGCATATGCTACCATTGATGAACCCACATTGACACATAATAATCCAAAATTCGTAGTTTACAATAGTGTTCACTTTGGGTATTATGTATTCTATGGGTTTTAACAAATGTACAATCATATATTATAGTATCATACAGAATAGTTTAATTATCCTAAAAATCCTCTGTGCTTCTCTGATTTATCCCTCCCTCTACTCTAAGCCCTGGCAACACCTGATCCTTTTACTGTTTCCATAGTTTTTGCCTTTTCTAGAATAGGCGTATTTGTTATATAGTTGGAATCACACAGTATGTAGTCTTTTCAGATTGGCTTCTTTCACTTAGCAGTGTGCATTTAAGCTTTCTCCATGTCTTTTCATGGTTCTATGGCCTGCATTAGTCTGTTTTCTGTTGCTTATACCAGAATACCTGAAACTGGGTAATTTATAAAAAACAAAATGTATTTCTTACAGTCTGGTGTTTGGAAGTCTAAGGTCAAGGAGGGGCACTTCTGGTAAGAGCCTTCTTGCTGGTAGGATTTCTGCAAAGTCCTGAGGTGGCATAGGGCATCACATGGTAAAGGGATTGAGTGTGCTGGTTCAAGTCTTTTGTCTTCTTATAAAGCCACTGGTCCAACTCCTATGATAATCCATTCTTCTATTAATCCATTAACCCATTAATAGATTAATCTATTCATGACCCAATCACAGCTTAAAAGCCCCACCTTCTGAATACTGCCACATTGTAGATTAAGTTTCAACATGAGTTTTGGAGGAACAAACATTAAAACTATAGCTTAGCCTCTTTCTTTTTAGCATGGAATAATATTCCATTGAGTGGGTATATCATAGTTTATTTATTCATTCACCTATGGAAGGACATTTTGGTTGCTTCCAAAGTTTGGCAATTATGAACAAAGTTGCTATAAACATATGTATGGAAGTTTT